AACACTTAATGGGAAAAAATTATAGATTCATCTTAACACATAATCCATCTGCAAACATGATATAGAATTTCTGGATCTCTAGACCTTAGAAGAGGCCTTCCACTCTACTCTTTAATTGCAATCCATAAAAAAAATGATGCCTTATTCAGAACATAATTGTTCGTCCACTTACGTGGACAACACTTAGGTTTATTGATAGACCTTCAATATATTTTTTTAGTAGTATTGTCTAACCTAATTTCCCAACTAAAACACCTTTCAAAAATCCTAAGAAATTCATGTGTCTTAGGTTCGGTAAAAAAGGCACATGTAACACCAATATAAGGCTTAAATTCTCTTAGATGAGTTGAAAGCCCCAATATCTTATGATTTTAAGGATCTCTTAAAAACGTATCATTTATAATGATGGGCTTAACCATTCTCTTTTAGTTATTAAAAGATGTTTTCCGATTAAAATTTTGATTTTAGGGATTAGAGAAGGAAAAATAACTTTTTATTTGTATAAAATACGAAATAATAAAAAATATAGACTTGTTATTAATATTAGGAGATCAATGAATGTATATTTATGTGTACTTGTTAGGCTAAACCTTTGGATTGAGCCTCTTTTTGATTCTTTGAATGCTTGGTATACCTTTTTGCCTATGACCACTAGATGTCTAATCCCCATCCAATTAGATTACTATTAAGATAAAATTTGATTTGATGAACATAATAAATTTTCTTAGGAAAACCCTTGACATAGTCAAATTCCATTATGATAGGAGAAACATATTTTTCTTCAGGCATTATAGTTAAACCATCAAACTGGTCTTTGCCAAACCAATAACAAATGAACTCTAGGTTACACAACACAGGACTAGTGCTGTCCAAAATTAGCCTTCTACCCTATTAACTACTCGAATTGATTATGTCTAGCTCCACATATTTAAAGAATATTGTACAACTAATCCACTACTTGATTTATATGTTCCTCCTAAGGGCATAGGTTCATTAAACACCTTGGGGAGCAATTTTGATGATGCCTTAGGTTTTCCAACCACTATGGATTGCAATTTTAATGAAATTGGACCCCTAAATGATCCAAATACCTCATATAAAAAGCATTCCCTACTTATGGGTTTACATGTCTATCATGCTTTTCATATAATTGGGTAATACTAAAGTGCCTCTTGAGATACACACACTTTAGATGATTCTTTCACACCTACACAAAGTTTAAAATTTTGTAGTTGGATATTGAGGTGTTGCTTATCAACATGTAGATGCCTAAGCTTTGAGGCATTCTATGGCGTAAGCCTCATAATCAACAAATTACACAAAATAATATATATTTTATTAAGCTCAATGTATATAGTAAGAAATAAATATTAATATTTTAACTTATTAATAGATTAGAATGTGACCTGTTAATATTTTAAAATGATAAAAGTAATGAATTCTTCAAAATAAGAAGTAACTTATTAGCATTCAAACATCAAAGTATAAAATAAAAAAAATGTTTACAAACTTCAAAGTACGACATGATAATTTAGTAATTCAAAATAAATTCAATAAAATTAGTCTTCTTACACTATTACTATCATCCATGAGAGTTGTAACTATGAGTGATCGAATCATTAAAAGGTGCAAATGTTTTAAATATCTTGGGTTTATTGTTCAAAGTGATGGTGATAAAGATGGAGATGTTATAAGTAAAATTCAAGTTTGTTGGTTGAAGTGGAAGAATGCATTGGATCTGTTTTGTGATAGAAAAGCACTGCTTAGACATAAAGGGAAATTATATAAGATTGTGGTGAGACCTTCAATGCTCTAGGGGGCAAAATGTTGGCCTTTAAAAGAGAAGCATAAAAAAAAAGTTAAGTGTTGTTGTGATGAGTATGCTTAGGTGGATGAGTTGCTTGACAAATATAGATAAAATGCAAAATGAATACATCCATGGTAGGGTTAGTGTAGCTCTAGTAGCGGACAAGATCACAGAGTCGTCTTAGATGATTTGCTCACATTAAATTTCAACCATTTGATGATCTGATTAGGAGAGTAGATGTTTTATAATCGACTTATGTTAAGAAAGGCATAGATAGACCTAAAAAGACTTGGGCATATTGTATAAAAAATTATCTTAATCTATTAATATTTAATGAAAATATGAGACACAATAAGTCGCAACGGAGAAAAGGATTTATGTAGCCAACCCCACTTAGTGGGATAAAGGCTTGTTGTTGTTCTTGTTGTTGTGATCGTTCAGAGAGTTATCTCTTCCCAAATCGCCAATGTCAATGAACCCTAAAGGAAATGCCTGACCTCTCTCTCCATTCCAAAAACCTAGACTTCCTTTTTCTATAAGGCACAAGCCAACACTTTCTTGCTGTCTCAAAATTCCTCCGCCTAGCCTCCCTCTCTAGCCACTGAAGCACCAGATTAAGCTCCTTGAATGCTCTACAAAAATTAATCCTAGCCTAATGAAATCCAAAACCTAAATTAGTTTATCTCAACCTTCTATATTTAGTTTCTTTTAAATTAGTACTTTTTATGTTTGGATCTTTACCAACCAAAGCTTTAATTGCTTTCACTCATTATATATCCTCTACTTGTAACCTCCATCAACATTACTTTTTCTACTCTACTGGTGCAGTTGTTTTGATATGCACATTGAAGTTGTCTAAGAATATTTTTGAGCAATTCTTGAAGAAGCTATTGAGCAATATTGAGGTCCACATTCTTAATATATATATTTTTGAAGATTCTATAATTCAAATTTGATAAATTTTCCCTATTTAGTGAATATATAAAATAGTTTAGGTTTTAGGAAAGTTCAAATTTTAAAAATTTGTGTATTTGAGTTTGGGGAGATGAGATCTATCATACCCTTCTTTACATATAAAGAGACTTCTTTAATCTTTACTATTTTTTGGTATTCTGAGTTAGTTATTTTAAACTTTAAAGCTGGCCTATTTTTGTTAGTCTGTTATATGAACATGTCATTGTATGTTTGTTTGAAGAGGTATGGGTTAAGCCAAAATTTTGCTAAGAAGCTCGCTAGATCAAGCTTGAATCTAAGTTCATTTTTATCTTGAGCCCCCGAGGAGAATCATCAAAGTCCATCATTAATCTTTTGGTTTGCTACTTGAACTATTTTTCCATAATGACCTTGTGCCAATCTTTACCTTATAAGGGTCCAATGGGCTACTTGACTATAATGTAATGGGGGTATCCTCTAGGGTGCTGATGTTATCATCTACCCTAACATGATCTAGAAAGCAAAGAGAAGCAAATTTTTACTAATATGCCTATTTTATGTGTTTGGGGCAAATGTATGTGAATAGAGGATTGAGGTATGGAGTCGCAATTAACACAAGCAATAGGTTTTTAGTCAATCTAATCCTTAAACTTATGTTTTTTCCTATCAAATGATTAACAAGGATTTCATCTGGCGTGAGAGAAAAAATTGAAACATGCGCATAGACATACCCAATGTGAGCATGGATTTGTTAATAGTTTAGGAATCTAAAGTTGGTGAGGTAATAATTTTATCCTGAGAGGAGTCGAAGACTTGAGGTAATCTTCTCTTATTGTTACCGCCTCTATAGTAATTACAGTCGACATTCATGTATGCTTGATCAGAATAAACTTGGCAAATGGACTTAAAAAATAAAAGATACTTTCATTTAGAGAGAAAGATTAAGGTTCCCTTAGGGCCCTCTTATGGCCTTTTACCAAGTATGTAACCATCAATTTTAAGTTTCTAATCCTTCAAACCCCCTGCATTTCTAAAGTTTAGAGACTTCTTCCTTTAACATAGTTGATAGCGATGTCTTGAGTCGAGGGTAGTTGAGCTAAAAGGAGACCCTTCTAATTTAAGTCGACGCTATAGACAGGGTCAGTGCTAGATATTTAATCGGGTGAGGGGAGGGGGATCTGGGAAAGAGGGTCTAGCAACGAGAATCGGATTATCATAATGCAAGTTAAAATTAGAGTTTAGACAAGTAAAAAAATAAATTTTGTGTAAAGAGGAAGGGATTTCTGTGGATTTTTCTTTTTTTGGACCTCGAAGGATGATCTGAGGACTTTGTGGAGGGATGAAGGTTAAATGTTGTTGAAGGTGCTAGGCTGGGAGAGGAAGTCATCATAAGTTGAAGAGAAATGGCTTCCTTGAAACTGTGCATTTCGCAATAGATTAAAACAATAATGTTACAAAAAGATGTAGAAACTTATACCCTACGGGCATTAACAAAAAGAGAACTATCCTCTTACAAAGCAAAAAAAAAGCAGGATCTATGTCACTAACATGAGTCAAAATAATATCACTATCTATGGCCATTTTGGCACAAGTATGAGCTGCCTTATTGTTGCACCTAGAAGTATGTTGGAAAATGACTTGCTTGAACCCAAGCAAGAAGCCAAAATTTGGATTGGTTGACTGAATGCAAAGGGCTTATCATCTTGGAAGACGCAGGTCAATGAGGTGGCAGGAGGAAACTTCATATGCAGAGATAAAGGATCTCCAGCCTTATATGAAACAATGGAGTAGATTCAGCATAGGTGGAGCACATAGTGGAATGGAGATTAAGTCCCTATGACAAGGCAAGGACAGGAAATATCCACTAGAACCAAACCTTTGAGCCTTCTCTAGCTTTCTTTATTATACTTTTGTTGATGATTATGATGAGCTGTTTGCTGATCCTTTCTATTTTAGTTGCCCATTTTAGAGAAAATGTCGGATCTTCTTCATGCGGAAGTCATCTTGCTTCTCTATTCCCTCTGTATATTGTTTCCTACTATTGAATTTCCACTGAGAGCTCCATGCATGAAAGCCTCGTCGGAAATGTTTATTCTGCTCTTGAAGTAGATGACTGCTAATGTAAAGGTCCGGCGAAAAGCTTTTGCTGTGAACCTTACTTGCCATTTTTTTTTGTGCCCACGTTTTTAATTAATTTGTTTTTTATTGTTGACTCGGAAAAAATTAGATAGATATTGAATGATCTCTTTTATGTTTCCAGCAAATCAGAGTTTGTAATATACAAGTTGAAGGAGATTGGAATGATCGAAGAGAAAGATATACTGCTGATCATTAATCAGTTTAACAAGCTTGATCCTAACGATACAGGCAAAATAATACGCCCAGATTTATTGTGAAAAGTTGATGGAAATGTAAAAATGTTCGTGCTAATGCATTTTCATTGGCCCCATCCTCGCCGTGGAAGTTCGTATATCGTGCCCTTTTCCTTCTTGTTTTTTTTAAGTTGTAGTTTTATTTCAGGTAATGCTTAATTTAATCAAACTTAGCAGCAAAGGAGTAAAATTATCATATACTTAAAAAAATATATTATATTTTAAACAGAAATTAATCATTTGTCACCAGGGTGGAACCAACCTATATTTGAGGGTGGAGAAATTCATTATAATATATGTTAAAAGAAAGGGTTAGAAGTTATTATACGAGCCTCCAGCCACCCCTAATTCGAGTACCATCTCCTTAAGGCTCACTATGCAAGAGGGGATTTAAACCCCCGTCCTAAAGGATTTTATATCATGGATGTCAACTAATAGGCCGGGATACACTACATTATAATATATATATTATATATATAATGTTAACAAAAACAAATGGAGAATACATAATTCAAAATACTGTTATTATTAAAGAGTTTAAATTGATTATAAGTTTTTTAACCTATTTTGTATTTATAGCTGATATTGCAAAATAATTTATTAAGAATTAAATTAATATTTATTTCTAAATATATGTTATTAGGCTTCCATGCAGTCAATGCTTGACAATGCTCATCACTGAAAAGCTTTTCCATTATATTGATAGTAATTGGTAGGGTGGACGTTTAGATGATAAGCGTATAAATTAGTGGTTGATATTATTTTTCTTTCAATTATATTTATACGATCATCAATCCCTGTTAGAGATAAGAATTTAATATTTGTGTGCATGTGAGTACTATAAAAAGATGGTTGATGTTCAATAGTCATGTGCTCAATTCTTAAAAAATCTATTGGATATAGATGTGTAAGTTAAATTAATTCTTTTCATTGAGAGCATAGAATGTATCCTTTAGTTTTAGTCATATTACACAAAAAACTAACTCAATATTAGCTTCCGAAAATGATTATTCTACTCTTAAAAGTTGCATTTTAACTACATTGCAAAATAACTTAACAAAATAATGATACAAGTTTGTTATTTCCTTATTTCTCTATATTGAAAGTAAATGAGCTTTAAATGTAAAGTTTAAGAACAATTTTAATGACTACAAAAATTAGACACTTCATTCAAAAAAATATCATCTATGCTCTCTCATCATTTATAATATTTTGCTGGATAGTTGCATCAATTTTATTCTATTATCACTGTCTAGATCATCTTTATGTACGAGTAATAATTTACTTGAATTTCTTGAAACGTTAATCATTATAGCATTATGAAGATGAGATCAAATTACTTTATTCCATTCATTAGAACTCCAATTTTAACTAAATCTGATCTTCTTTAACAATTTCAAGTAAAGTATATATTTTTCAAGATTTGAATTGAAGGTTGAAAATGTGAATTCCAAAATGTGTCACCAAGTTATTCCAAGCTTTTCCTTTGATTCAAGCATTGCTACATATTAACTCTTCAATTTTAAGTTGTAATTATATTTTTTTCATGTTGAATGAGTTTAAGAGTATCACTCCCCTTCTAAGATGCTCTAATTACATTTACAAATTTTTAGTAAATTCGAATAGATGTTTCATTTATCTATATTTGCTTATGCAATTATCAAATACAAAAAAAGTTGATGAGTAAAAAAATGGATCTAGAATGCTTATGGATTCTCATTAAGAATGTGTTTCTTTAATTAATAAAAGTCTCCTCACCTATTGAATTCCTCATGATAGCCTTAATCATATAACTTGTGTAAGCTCAACGAGTATTGGACAATGATAGCCTTAATAGAAGTAAGATTATGCTGTTGGAGGACACATGCTAAATACTACTAAATCTTTCAATATCTTTGCTCATTTTTATAAACATATTTTATTGCAGTAGACAATAATTTATTTATTAACATATCATAAAACTCATCAAAATGAATGTAACCAATATCTTTTGAAAAAAAGGTTAAGGTTTCGACAACTGCATCATAACATCTTTCTTTATGAATGTTTGATCAAACCAACTTTACATTGTACTTTCATTTTCAAATCTAAATTTTTTTGGCTTCTTTATTAGGTTTGGCAAAAAAAATAAAGTAATTCCAAGTAATTTCCTTGGTTATTTGATTTAGTTAACTTAGTGACAAAAAAAAATGTTATTTTTGATATAAAAGAAAATCAAAATATTTAAATAGCTACGTATAACTTGATATAATATTTTTTTTCCACTTTTCATCATTACTTAGCTATATAGTTGAAACATTTTATTTTTGAGACTTTACTAAATCTTCACATTGTTATTTCACCTTGTTGTGTGCACAATTATGTTCTTCAATATTATCTAGAATCTTTTCAGTTCTCTTTTAATTTTTAAACCTTTCACTAATAAATTAGTCTCCACCACCTTAATTTGTGTCAATTTATTCTTAAGGTTCAAAGATATAGCAATGAAGATAATATAGTACCTTTTAGACATCATATTTTACTTACTTTTAAGCTTCAAAGATTTATTAATAGAGACAAAATAGAGACAACTTCATCAATCTAGAGTTTTCTAAGGCCAAGCTTAATTGCTAAGATCTCCTAGGTACATTTTGAGAAAAGTCGAGTTCAGACCGATTCTACCCTGACACCAAAAATCCTAGTTTGGAACATCTAGAATGTTCATTTTTGGGTTATGGGGGTGTATTCTAGTGATATGATATTTTTTGTGGCTTCCCAAACAATGAGGACCTGACAAAAATTAAGGTTTGGAATATTCTACTCGCACCGTGGCCTAGGAAAATTTTATGATCATCCTGGCAAAAATTAACGTTTGGAATATTCTACTCGCACCGTGGCCTAGGAAAACCATTGGCAATGTTTTTCCTGATGAATGACCAATCAAAATACTCATTTTTTTTGAAGTTACGGGACCATATTTTAGTCATACCCAATCCCTTATAGCTTATGAATCAAAGAAACCCTTTGTCGAACGATCTGCACAAAAAATTAAAGTTTTCAGGCTAGATCGGCGCCTAGGCACCAAAAACTGCATTTCAGAGCATTTTCCCGAGCCTTAGGAAAGTAGTTGCTAGCCTATTGGTGCCTAGGTGCCAGATTAGGTGCTAGGTTTCCAATATGCCCTAAAAAATATTTTGATCGAGCATCCATAAAGTAGGTGCTAGCCTGCTGGTGCCTAGGAGCTAGGAGCCTAGCACCAGGGCACAATGTCTAGGCTCCAAGGTCACAATTTCTAGGCGCCAGTCTAGTTTCTGGACACATTTTTTTTCCAAAAATTGGAACTAGTTTTACCCTGACACTTTCCATCATGCATCCGAAATTTGAGATCTCATTGGGCATGGTAAGATCACATGGGGGAGGCAAAAAGAAAGGTAATTATACCACTTATTGACTTATTTTAGAAGTTTCCTAAAGGCTTAATCAAACCAAATATGGAAAAATCAAAGGGAAGGTCGGTTGGCTTGAGGCTTAAGCTGGGCTAGTCTCATTTCAATTTTATGGTGATTTCATTTCAGTTTGGAGAGGTCCTTTTCCTTGAAGGGGAGAGAGCACTTGGGAGCTTGGAGAAAAAAGTGTGTGGAGCAAAGATCTTTGGAGGAGAATTTCCATCTTATTCAAGGAAAAGGGCAAGGAGTTGGTTTCTTCTTCCAAATTCTTCTTCATTCTCTTCATTTTCTCCATTATTCATCTACTCTGGTGAGTTATTTCTTCTTTGATGAACTTTCTAAGATTCAAGGCTAGGAAACAATCATCTTAGCTTGGGAGAAGGTCATACTCCGGTGAACTTATCATCGTCTCCTATAATGAAGGAGAGCTTCATCCTTCTTTAGAGAAAGAAATCTCTGATGAACTCCACCATCTCTCCAGTAAGGAGAGCGTCTTCCTTACTTTGAAGGAGTGTAGAGTTTGGGAGTCTCTTTATTTCTCTTATGTTAAGGAGAGCTTCTTCCAGAGCAAAGTCATACTTTGACTAACCACCATAGAGGTATAACTTCTTTGAGCCCTCATATTTTCATTTCTAGAGCCTTTAGTTATGGATGTTAGAGATACGAGGTTAGTTCTTTATTGTGCCTAGAAGAAGCCAATGTAGGGTTAAGAGCCTTTCGCGGACTTTCCCTTGCAAATCCGAAGAGTGAACCTACACATTTCTTTCTAGACCTAATTCTAAATTGTCAGGATAGTTCAATCTCGTGTTTGCTCTGGCTATTTTGCCCTCGTGACGAGAAGAGTGAAGTTTATTGTTTGGGGGTAGAGAACGCAACTATGAAGACTTTGATGTTCTCTACACACTGCGATTCTTCTTTGGAGATTTTGGAGAAACAAAGTGTTGAGAGCTCTTTCTCTATTGGAAGTTTCTATTTCAGGATTCTCTTACTCTTCTCGTTCTTGCGTTAACAAGGAGTTAATGTCATGTTTCATTTACTCCTAGAATGTTGTTTAATCTTTGGATTAGTTGTCTATGTGATAATCTCCTCTGAACTATGAAATGAATAGATCAAATAGAAATGATACTTCAGTTTGATCATCTCTTTGATGAAGAAGTAAAGTTTCTTCGTGAATATCTATACCATGGTTGCCTTTACTTATCAATACTGGAAACATTTTTAATGACTTGGATAGTCATTTGGGGCTCGGTTTTTTATTCTCCTTGCTACCCCCTTTGTTTGAATATTACTGGAAATGCATTTGGAATTCATTTTGTTTTTCTTTGTTGTTTCTTGTTTAAATACATGCTTGAGATTAGTTTTAATAACTTGGATAGCCATTTGGTGGCTCGGTTTTGGCTTGTTGGTGGCCTATTCCTTTTGGTTGTTCGCTGGATTTGATCTAGCTCTTATGTGGAAGTTTAATTACATTTTCTATAACTATCTTTATTTGAACTTCAACATTGGAAACATTTTTTATGACTTGGATAGTCATTTGGGGCTCGATTTTTTATTCTCCTTGCTGCCCCCTTTGTTCGAATATTGCTAGAAATGCATTTGGAATTCATTTTGTTTCTCTTTGCTGTTTCTTGTTTAAATACATGCTTGAGATCAGTTTTAATAACTT